CCCCGTTAGATATTAGACAACCTAAAATTTAGCGATGCGCTTATGCTACAAGCGGACCGTCTATATACACGATATCGTGCAAAACAAGACGAAGAAGATGATGATAATGATGATGATGCCATTGCAAGAGCAGCTGTTACCACGGATATTGCTACTAGATATCAAGATTCTGACTATGAGTCAGACTTCAGTGACCTCGTTGAAGGAAGTGACAATCACAATGACACTGACAGTGATATGGACATTGATTGAAAGTCATGAGGCCCTATTTAGGAATAAGGATATTTACATGATGTATTCTAGGATATTAAATACAAATCTGACCTAAAAAGTGTTTGCTATTTCTTTTCTTGCATTACTTCATGTTCAATGAATTCGATTTAAAGTTTTAATTAAATTATCCTGAGAAACATATGATTATAGCGGGCAGGCAGGTTTTGGTCAGGGCTGGCATGTTTTTCAGCTAGCCAGTCCTGTGGTCTGGCTGAAAATTTTGGGAGTTTCATACCCTGCTACCTGTGAAGATCTTCAGCAACCCCTGCTTGCCGAAAAAAAGCGACTATGCTAACAGGATCGGGTGGTCAGGCTCGCTGACTTGGTTGATGCATGTCATCGTATCCCGATTGCGTTGATCAATGCTCATGATGTCAATCACTGGATTGTCTGGTCCAGACTCGATTTGTTTATAGCTGGAATATTACTAAGTGAGGCGTAAAACGACAAACTGAAATCTACATGGAGGTGTTCGCCGACCACGGCTGTATAGCACCTGTATAAGCATTGCTTTTGTAGCATCAACCATAACCATGATGTATTCACTTAAAAAAGTAGTATCATAAGAAAACTCCGCTAATAGCAGAGTCCATGGAACGATTCCGACTATCATCAGCATGTGTTGATGAATGCGAAAAGGTGAACTTAACCCGCCCTACCCTTGAAACCATCACAAACACATGCAAAGGCAAGTCAATTGTTTACCTAAAAAAACCAGAAGGTTATAGAAAAAAAAAGTGAATAGCGTTGGTCATCAGAATAGCAGAGCACATAGGAGACAACATGAGAGCATTCAAATCTGGATGACGTAGATCGTTGCAGTTGAGTGTGCAGGACAGTTCCCCGACTGTGTTTGGGAGACTTGCGACCTCCGAGGCGTCAGACTGTTATGATTCACGAACAAAACCTTTGGTGTATAGGTATAAATCTGTATATCTCACTGCGGGCGAGAATGTACCATAACCATGTAATGTGCATTAACGTGGCCAAAACAAAGCAACTGAAACGGACGTAAAATATGGTACTAACAGTAAGCCCTGGCGCTTGTGTGTTTCCCGCGCAGTCCTTCAATGTATATATGTTACAGGAAACAAGTATAATCAGTGATTAAGTCTAATAACTGGAAATTTCAGTGATTATGTCTAATAACTGATTCACTCGGTGGTTATGTCTAATTACTGAAATCTTCAGTAATTAGACATAATCACTGAAATGAACCAAAGGATTTTATACTTGTTTACTGAAAGCATATCCCTGCCTTGTTTTTATAATGTGTGCTAGTTTTGAAATTAGATTAGCCATCAAAGTAAATACAACCTCCCTTAACCAGATACTTTACACAAAAATCACAGAAATAAGCTTAAACAGTTCAATCTTTTATTTCATAAAATGGTATGACGTGAATAGTATGACATTAATGGGATGACAAATTGCAGTCAGATGGACACTCAGGAATGTTTGTTTGCACATGAAAGACTTGAATGACATCTAGAATTACATTGCATCTTGGCCTTAAAACATTTGCAGGGATTGGTCTGACACCGTTTAGTTCCAACACAATTACACCTTACAAAGCCTTGACCACCACAGACTCAAGTTGAACCGCTTGACGCAAAGAGAGTGTTCGATCGGTATTGAAATCGTCAGCATTATACAGTTTGGTGACACATACATCAAACTGGTTACGGGAATTTTTCCCATTTAGCACACCACCCTTGACTGCAATTGTGAACATGTCATTGTCACTACACTCAATAACTACACCAATTATGTTACGTAGACAACACATGATTCTGTTTGTTTACAGGAGATTGGCTTAGGACAGGATTATGAAGCCTTCTCACAAGTTATTATAAACAGGCAGGGATATGCTTTCAGTAAACAAGTATAAAATCCCTTGGTTCATTTCAGTGATTATGTCTAATTACTGAAGATTTCAGTAATTAGTCATAACCACCGAGTGAATCAGTTATTAGACATAATCACTGAAATTTCCAGTTATTAGACTTAATCACTGATTATACTTGTTTCCTGTAACATATATATATCATTTCTGCCTTGAAAGATGTTGTAACACTTAATTCCTTAGTTTTTCACACATAGTGCCTCCCCACCCGCCCAAAACCACGTCTACAATTGCAACCTCGTTGTTAAAAATGTTGATATCCTCAAATAAATAAATGCGACAAAACTCTTTCCATATTCATAAGTAATCTGTCATGATACTAAGTGTTGGCAAAAAGGGGAACATACCCTGCCCCACCGGTAGCACTGTCACAAACACATGCAAACGCAAGTCAACTTTTCACCTGGAAAAAACCACGGGTACAAGTGAAAATAGGGAATTGCATCGGACATCATCTTTGTCACTGATGCGTCAAATTTGGAAATGTCCTCCACATGTCTACCATAACACATTTGAAAGATTTACTGAGGCCTTGAATGTTGTAACCTTGAAGACAACTTCAAGACATTTCCTTCTGAACGAAAAACACCAACCAAACCCAAAGCACCAGGGAAAGGTTCTAAACTTCGACGGTCTTTCTCCGATATCGAATAAACCCAGCCTATTTATAGAATAAGGAGTGAGTGAGTGAGTATGGTTTTACGCCGCTTTTAGCAATATTCCAGCAATATCACGGCGGGGTACACCAGAAATGGGCTTCACACATTGTACCCATGTCGGGAATCGAACCCGGGTCTTCGTTAAGAACGAACGCTTTAACCACTAGGCTACCCGACCGCCCTTATAGGATAAGGACGATAGTCGTGGTCAGGGTCAGGGTAATGCTATGGCGATTACCTCTGTTTATCTTCCAAAACTGGCTCCCTCAGGAGATATCGCTTGGGTGAGATCAAGCGATATCTACATTGTAGATATCGCTGCAATGAAATTGCATCACAATGCTTTGCAGACCATTGTGTCTTGCAAGTCGTGTCGTCCGAAAATAGGTCCGCAGACATATTCTAATGCACATTTTGCGTCAGGGCTTTTACTAGTTTTATATGTAATAGTTAGTCTGCTTTGAGGTTTGGGTTAAAAGTCACGTCGGTCATATGTAGGAATATTGTGAGTGAGTAATATTTCACGCCGCTTTTAGCGATATTCCTGCAATTTCACTGCGGGCACACAATAAATGGGTGCCGCGCATGATGCCATGTGGGGAACGCTTTTACCTCTAGACGATTCCACCTAAAGCCCACGTGAAGCAGGTATGGGGCGTTTACTACTATGGTGGAACCCACAAACACAAACCTAGAAACATAATCGCAGCGAATTGCGGCGCCGTAGATGACTTGGCCTCCCTGTCACCCCTTCTGCATCAAAGGCCGTCGACCACTTTGACTGAACTTGGCCAGGCGCTCCAAGTGGAGCCCTTCGGAGAAAGAAGGTAGAAAGATTTTTTTATTTTTTTTTATGTAGAAAATTGAAAGAACTGTTATTAAATCTTTTTATGTCTATTTAACCATTACTCATTCCTGGAACATTTTGTAATCTGTGGCTGGGTAATTTTGTGTCAAATTAAATAGGCTCAATGAAGTCTTGGGTAAGAAATGAATTCGCAGCCATGTGACTCCTACAATGTTTGAAATATAAATTTGTGCAGAAACAAGCAAATTTATTGTTTTTGAAATATAAGATGTCTAAGATATCCATCATCAGTTGTGTATTATGCGAATTATTTTTTATTTTAAAGTTTGGAAAAATTATATGAGACCTACGTCACCTCGTGCTTTCTTCCAGCATGAATTTGACACGTCGTGATATAACTGGAATACTGTTCAAAGTGGCGTAAACCTCACTCACTCACTCACTCACTCACTCAACGTCTCACGCCGTCGGGGGCCACTGACTCGCGATCAACACAGCCTGACCACCCGATCCATTAAAGGTCATTTAATTATCTGGCCAAGACTGGATTATTTACTGGACGCCGTCATTTTGCTTAGTTTTACATTAAACAAGAAACAAACAAAACTAGACATTGTAATATTTTTTGTTCTAGATATGTTGTTCACAAGCCCGGTAGTCAATATAGGTCAACAGAACTAACGCGGTTTACGCTATCTGCAGACAGACAACGGCCCATTTTTAATAATCGAATTAATTAGAAAGTGTTTCATGTTGCCGTGGCTCTTTGTACAGGAGTATACAAAAGCAAAAACAATTAGATTCAAGTTACAACATAGATCAATCAAAACGCCTTTTGTCGTCTATACATAAAACGTGACGTGAAACTTAGTAGCGTCAACTCTTAATAAGGTCACTACTCAATCGGAAACACGATGTATCTATCAACGAACGCCTACAACAGGAGGGAAACGTAATTAACGACAGTAGACCCGATTAGATAAAGATGTCATGACGCTCAAAAACGACAGGACGCAGAAAATATCCACAGTATAATAGCATCGCTTTATATTTCTGCATTCTGAACTCCCTGATTATATTCTTTTTCGAGATACAGAAATAAAAAATAAAACGTTGACCCAGAACCTTTGTAAAACGTTGACCCAGAACCCTTGTAATACGTTGACCCAGAACCCTTGCAATACGTTGACCCAGAACCCTTGTAATACGTTAACCCAGAACCCTTGTAATACGCTGACCCGGAACCCTTGTAATACGTTGAACCAGAACCCTTGCAAAACGTTGACCCAGAACCCTTGTAATACGTTGACCCAGAACCCTTGCAATACGTTGACCCGGAACCCTTGTAATACGTTTATCCAGAACCCTTGTAAAACGTTGACACAGAACCCATGTAAAACGTTGACCCGGAACCCTTGTAATACGTTGACCCAGAACCCTTGCAAAACGTTGACCCAGAACCCTTGTAATACGTTGACCCAGAACCCTTGCAATACGTTGACCCAGAACCCTTGTAATACGTTGACCCAGAACCCTTGTAATACGTTGACCCAGAACCCTTGTAAAACGTTGACACAGAACCCATGTAAAACGTTGACCCGGAACCCTTGTAATACGTTGACCCAGAACCCTTGCAAAACGTTGACCCAGAACCCTTGTAATACGTTGACCCAGAACCCTTGTAATACGTTGACCCGGAACCCTTGTAATACGTTGACCCAGAACCCTTGTAATACGTTGAACCAGAACCCTTGCAAAACGTTGACCCAGAACCCTTGTAATACGTTGACCCAGAACCCTTGCAATACGTTGACCCGGAACCCTTGTAATACGTTGATCCAGAACCCTTGTAGAACGTTGACACAGAACCCATGTAAAACGTTGACCCGGAACCCTTGTAATACGTTGACCCAGAACCCTTGCAAAACGTTGACCCAGAACCCTTGTAATACGTTGACCCAGAACCCTTGCAAAACGTTGACCCAGAACCCTTGTAATACGTTGTCCCAGAACCCTTGTAATACGTTGACCCTGAACCCTTGAAAAACGTTGACCCAGAACCCTTGTAATACGTTGAACCAGAACCTATGTAAAATGTTGACCCAGAACCCTTGTAATACGTTGACTCAGAACCCTTGTAAAACGTTGACCCAGGACCCTTGTAATACGTTGATCCAGAACCCTTGTAAAACGTTGACCCAGGACCCCTGCAATACGTTGACGCAGAACCCATGCAAAACGTTGACCCAGAACTCCTGTAATACGTTGACCCTGAACCTATGTAAAACGTTGACCCAGAACCTATGTAAAACGTTGAACCAGAACCTATGTAAAATGTTGACCCAGAATCCTTGTAATACGTTGATCCAGAACCCTTGTAAAACGTTGACCCAGAACCCTTGTAATACGTTGACACAGAACCTATGTAAAACGTTGACCCAGAACCCTTGTAAAACGTTGACACAGAACCTATGTAAAACGTTGACCCAGAACCCTTGTAAAACGTTGACGCAGAACCCATGTAAAACGTTGACCCAAAAGCCTTGTAGAACTGCCCTCCCACATTAAGCTAACGTTGGCCCCGAAATAGAAATACAGAAGACCAGTGAGACCCCCTTGTCTGTTTAATACTCAGATCTATGCATACAGATTCGGAGTGACAAAACACTCTCCACAAGACTGTATGGCAAGAGGGATGACTTCAACTTTCCAATTATCAACTTTCCCTTCATGTCTAGCAATATTCCAGCAGCTCCAGCCTTTGGTGTTTACATTTCACAACTGTTGAGGTACAATCGAGCATGCTTTTCTACCACGATTTCAAAGAACATGAATAATAACGAGTGGTACTTTAAATTAAATATATATCACATATTGAAGAACGACAAAAGTTCCTTCAAGCGTTCTCCCACGTCTCGTCAGACACGTGTAACAGGTCACTATTGACCAGGGAATGGATCACACGCTGCGCAAAGTTGGGATGTATAACGAAGCATTTTGTGGAGGAGCTTAACACATATGTTTTGTTTATCGTTATATTTTCAATTTGGACAGTTATTTAACTTTGGACCCTTGACTATGCTCCTAAATTTTCTCGAACTGCATTTTCTCGCACAATAACGGAGGTTGTGTGAAACACCATCTCCATGGAAACCAGTTATGGGACCTCGACTTGTCCAAGTAGTTCGATTCCATTGTTTTCAAAACGTTGAAATAAAAGCTATGTATGGCCATTTCTCAATAATGTTCGCTCTAAATTCACTTAAATGCTCTTAAATTATCTCAAAGCGCATGTTTGTCTCCAAATTGAAGTGGCCGACGCCTCGACTAGCCGTGCACCATAACAATACCCCTGAACAGCATTTTAAAAATATTGACTGTCCAAGTATACAGTAAAATGCATTTCTCCAACCACAAGTTTGCCTTCATTACATCCGATGGTGTATTTGAATGGAATCGCCTCGCTTTCAGCCATAAAAATGCTACTATGGCATTTCTGCAAACCATTTCAGAGGCAATAAAGAAATTAATTAGCGTCAAGGCAGTATTGTAAATGTATATTCGCCACAAAAAAGTCACCTACTTTAATAGGGCACATCTCCAGCAAAGATGGCACCCATGTCGATCTTTCAAAAAAGATTCAGTCACATAGATCCGACCCTCTAAAAATGTCCATGGCGTGTGTCATTTCTTAGTATTGGCCTCGTATTATCAAAAAATTGGCATAGCCTCCCCTCTATACAACCTTCTGAAAAAGAGGCGTCTTTCGAATGGTCCAACAATTGCCAACAGGCATTCGAAAAGCTAAAGGAAGCCCTTACCAACGCCCCAATCCTTGCATATCCCGGCCAAAATAAACCCTTCATCCTCACAACTGATGCATCGCAAACGACAAAAGGGTACATTTTAGACCAACTATATTCTCATGGCGTAACTTGTAATGGTGTTGTTTAGTCATGACTTCTGACCTTCCTGTTCTGTATTTAGCAACAAACAATGTTCATAGGGAATGTTTCTTTTGCTTATCAGTTTAGGTTTTTGCAATAAACTATTTTTATTTATATATATGTTTATATTGTATTTTGTTCCAAGTAAGAGCACATGATGCTCAAGGGGGCACGGGTGGCCCAGTCGTCTAAGGCGCCGCGATTCGCTGTGCAGAGTTGCGTCCCTTGGCACGCCAGAAACCTATGATTGTTGGTTCGAATCCCGGTTCGCCCCGATTATGTTTCTAGGTTTGTCAGCACTATGCCCGTGCTCGTGGGTTTCACCGAAGTGGTAAACGTGTGAGACCTGCATACTAAGCTGACACGCCGCGATATGACTGGAATACTGTTAAAAGCGGCGTTAAACCCAACTCACTCACTCACATGATGCTCAATGGCCATTTCCCATCGCAGTCAACAACAAAAGGGTTACAGGCATACTCTCATGGCCATGTCTCTCTGTCAAAGATTATGGCTTTGCTCACAAAATACTTTCGGTCAAAACCTTTTATTGAGGCTTTTTTTCAAGCAGATGGAGGCTGAGTGTTTAATTTACATACAATAAGCTGTGTTGTTTTGTTTTCACCTATGCTTGTCGTAATGGTTCGGGTGGTCAGGCTCTGTGACTTAATGATGCATCCAGGAATTGAAGTCACTTTTTAAATAAATAAGTAGGCCTAATACACACACCCTCGACCATGTGAATGAACCAACAGTTTCATAATTTCTTATGTTGTTGTTTTAACGTCACGTCTCAGCAATATTCCAGCTATATGACGGAAGTGATAATCCAGTGACTGACATCATGAGCATCAATCTACGCAAAGGGGATACGACAACACGCATCACCCAAGTCAGCGAGCCTGAGCATCCGATCCATTTAGTCGCCTCTTACAACCAGCATAGATTCCAATGTCACGGGGAGACAGACAAGCACTTCTACTCCACTCTTTTCCACTGTTGCCCCATACAAATGAGGAGCTGAAACATCTGTCTGTGACAGAAGGCTGGAGGGAGACGGTGTGTGTGAAGGGTGGAGGAGATTGCGTGACTGTGTTATAAAGGGTTGGGGAGAGGGTGTGTCTGTGTATGAAGTGGTTGGGAGAGGATGTGTCTGTGACAGAAGGCTTGGGGGGGGGGGGGGGGGGGGGGGGGGAGAGAGACGGTGTGTATGAAGGGTGGAGGAGAGGGCGTGACTGTGTATGAAGGGTGGGGAAGACGGTGTGTATGAAGGGTGGAGGAGAGGGCGTGACTGTGTATGAAGGGTGGGGAAGACGGTGTGTATGAAGGGTGGGGAAGACGGTGTGTATAAAGGGTGGAGGAGAGGATGTAACTGTGTATGAAGGGTGGGGGAGAGGGTGTGTGTGCGTATATAAAGGGGTGGGGAGAGGATGTGTCTGTGTATGAAGGGTGGGGGAGAGGGCGTGTATATATCTAAAGGTAGGGGGAGAGGGGGAGTCTGAAGGGTGGAGGAGAGGGTGTGTGTATGAAGGTTGGACAGGAGGGCGTGTGTGTGTATCTTTAACCTAGACTCACGACAGTCGTAGCGGTAAGGTAATCGTAACTCCCATATCTTTAACATAGACTTACGACAGTCGTAGCGGTAAGGTAATCGTAACTCCCATACCTTAACATAGACTTACGACAGTCGTAGCGGTAAGGTAATCGTAACTCCTATACCTTAACACAGACTTACGACAGTCGTAGCGGTAAGGGGATCGTAACTCCCATACCTTAACCTAGACTCACGACAGTCGTAGCGGTAAGGTAATCGTAACTCCCATATCTTTAACATAGACTTACGACAGTCGTAGCGGTAAGGTAATCGTAACTCCCATACCTTAACATAGACTTACGACAGTCGTAGCGGTAAGGTAATCGTAACTCCCATACCTTAACATAGACTTACGACAGTCGTAGCGGTAAGGGGATCGTAACTCCCATACCTTAACATAGACTTACGACAGTCGTAGCGGTAAGGTAATCGTAACTCCTATACCTTAACACAGACTTACGACAGTCGTAGCGGTAAGGGGATCGTAACTCCCATACCTTAACATAGACTCACGACAGTCGTAGCGGTAAGGTGATCGTAACTCCCATACCTTAACACAGACTCACGACAGTCGTAGCGGTAAGGTGATCGTAACTCCCATACCTTAACATAGACTTACGACAGTCGTAGCGGTAAGGTAATCGTAACTCCTATACCTTAACACAGACTTACGACAGTCGTAGCGGTAAGGGGATCGTAACTCCCATACCTTAACATAGACTCACGACAGTCGTAGCGGTAAGGTGATCGTAACTCCCATACCTTAACACAGACTCACGACAGTCGTAGCGGTGAAGGTTGATAGGGCAACGGCACCCTGTTGATTTCTGCGACTGTCATCCTACCCAGAAGAACAGTTGTTGCTTACAAACATCTACAACTTTGCCTTCAGTTTACCCCGAGGACACAGTTGAACACCAGGAACGTGTGGCTACCTCTAAACTGAAGCAACTATTATTGATAACAAGGAAAACAAAGTTTATTAAAGGTGAGGAATCTGTCATATAACAGCAGAACATGTTGCGGGACCCGTGACGATTCGGGGTAAAATAGGTCTTCAGCACCCCATGCTTGTCGTAAAAGGCAACTATGCTTGTCGTTAAGAGGCGACTTACGGGATCGGGTGGTCAGGCTCGCTGACTTGGTTGATGCATGTCATCGTATCCCAATTGCGGGAATCGATGCTCATGATATCAATCACTGGATCGTCTGGTCCAGACACGATTATTTACAGACCGCCGTCATATAGCTGAGTGCGGCGTTAAACAACAAACAAACAAACAAACAACATGTTGTGGTCGGTGTAGATTTTGCATATATTTGTTTTAAAAGGTTTTGCCGTGACATATATTTATTATATGTAATTGGTTTCTACTGTTTTTAATAGATGACTGATATGTAATTCTTACTTGTGGTAAGCCTGTGCTATGTATATGTACGTAGCGTTGATGATTATGTTGTTATTTATTATGTAATTATGTGTTTCTGGGTGTTTTTTATTTCCTAATACAAACGCATCGCATTAAAGATCTCACACCTGTAGCATGTATAAATGGACAACCATGCTACTGCTACAAGGTTGTTACCTCAAAACTGAGGTCACTGTCATATAATAGCAGATCATGTTACCTCATAACTGAGGTCACTGTCATATAATAGCAGAACATGTTGTTGCCTCAAAGCTGAGGTCACTGTCATATAATAGCAGAACATGTTGTTACCTCAAAACTGAGGTCACTGTCATATAATAGCAGAACATGTTGTTACCTCAAAACTGAGGTCACTGTCATATAATAGCAGAACATGTTGTTACCTCAAAACTGAGGTCACTGTCATATAATAGCAGAACATGTTGTTACCTCAAAACTGAGGTCACTGTCATATAATAGCAGAACATGTTGTTACCTCAAAACTGAGGATCATGTTATTAATTACAAGGACAGCTGGTTAATACCTCAAAACTGAATACATAACAAACGAACGGTAATCCTAATCTTTGCATCTAACAATGCCAAGCAGAACTGGAAATACAATTTAAATGGTAGATAGTCATGTCTAGTGATGTTTTATCACACATTTCCAATTTGTATTGACCAAGTTTAATTTTTATGAATTACAATGTTATTAATTACAAGGACAGCTGGTTAATACCTCAAAACTGAATACATAACAAACGAACGGTAATCCTAATCTTTGCATCTAACAATGCCAAGCAGAACTGGAAATACAATTTAAATGGTAGATAGTCATGTCTAGTGATGTTTTATCACACATTTCCAATTTGTATTGACCAAGTTTAATTTTTATGAATTACAATGTTACTAATTACAAGGACAGCTGGTTAATACCTCAAAACTGAATACATAACAAACGAACGGTAATCCTAATCTTTGCATCTAACAATGCCAAGCAGAACTGGAAATACAATTTAAATGGTAGATAGTCATGTCTAGTGATGTTTTATCATACATTTCCAATTTGTATTGACCAAGTTTAATATTTATGATCTGTTCATTTCCCTGAATTCGCTGAAGGGATAGATCTTCAATGTAATTTGTTTCTGTGGACGACAAACAAGTTTTTATTGCAAAGGTAAGGACTTTGTATGCGGTGGTGACGTGCTTCATTCCGATTCGCTTTATAGACGGGGTATATAAATTAGCATTGATTTTGAAGGCTTGTACAGTCGGGTCACCTTATAATGGGGTCGCATTATAGACGGCGATATACGGTACTACTACATTTGAGCAACACACAACATGAATTGTAGCACGTGAAAAGAAGCTTTTATTTACATACAAACGTTTGACGTAAAATGGGGGCTGCCTCGGTTGCCTTCTGCGAAACCTGGGGTCATGGTGACCCGGGTTGTGTGACTGCCTGGGGTTGTGGTGTCAACAACCGATAAAGATACTCAGAAAATCGATCAATGTTCATTTATCATGCTATGTTAATCAAATATGACCTGTTAAACGGATCTGTAACCACTCCCGAAAACAGAATTGTACTATGGGCCTGAGGCCTTTCAGTATGGGATAAAACTTATCCTAACCTGGTGACCTGGGTTGTGTGACACCCTAACGTGTCAGGTATGTCGGGTTTGCTGCTAGAATTAGGGCCATTCCTATAAGCTCGGCCAAATCGTGTGTGTGTGTGTGGGGGGGGGGGGGGGGGGGGGGGGCGTAAAAAGGATTGTGGGGTTCAACGTTAAACGACTGGGGTGGTCGTTTTGCCGAATTCGTCGTCAAGAGGAGTCACAAAATGTTGAACTAGTTGCGTATCCATCACGTTATAGGTTTTAAGACCAAATATGTGAGTTACAAATTGCTGTAATTTCATGCCTATAATGCAACTGGTTAATACCTCAAAACTGAGGATCATGTTCTTAACTACAAGGAACAACTGGTTAATACCTAAAAACTGAGGTCACTGTCGTATAACAGCAGAACATGGTACCTCAAAACTGAGGTCACTGTTATTGAAAGATCCTGGTACAAATGTCTCAAGAGCCCTACCCTCGTCTTCTGATGCAGTTCATTGTATTTCTAATTAATTCATTAAGGTGAGAAGAAAACCTCTCCAAGGACCGGTCAACTGTGAAGGTTTGCTCTTGGATGTCAGAGCGGTAGTGATGAAGTAGACCATCTGCAACATCAACCACCACATGGTGGAAGTCTGGGACGTGGCGCACACCATGGATTTGTAATATATCAACTGTTCTTGGAATCAGAAAGTACTTAGACCTGTCATAATAGTCATATATTTTGTGTCGGTTGAAATAGGAAAGCAGTTTAACATCATTGGCCTTCATTGATGTAGATAAACCATTTTGTTTTGACTTAGTAAAGAAGGCATTTCTCAAGGCAAATGATCCTCCCATTGGATGTTTATTCTTCAGTCTTTCAATGAGAGCAAGCCAGTTAGAGTCCTTATTCGGGACCATAACCTCATCCATATCTTGGAATAAAATGTATTTTGATGTGTATCGGTTTCGATAAAGACAATCATGCATCACAACCACCTGGGCGTAGTAGTGTATTCCATGGACCACAGGATCCGGGACTCTGGCCGGGATCAGCTCAAGCTGTCCACACTGGACAAAATAATCCACTATGGGTCTCATGCTCGGAGCAAGGGAGTGGTTGTACCAGAAGGCTTTCCCAGCCCCCAGTATACTGTTCATTGTCATGGACTCCACAAACTCCTCCGTGTTGGAATACCCTGAGTGAGCAGCGGGGTAGCACACGGTGAAGTTGCGGTATTCCTGGGCGGGGTGCTGTATGGGGATCTTCTCGGCGCCAGGTGATAGTGGTGATGGAGGTAGACGGAGAAATGACGGCGCTAGCTGAGTTGAGGTCAAGGGGCAGTGGACAGCCAGTGTTGTGTACACAGGCCTGGATAACAGAAGGAAGATGATTAATTACCGTTAGGAAAACAAGAAACTACCTGTTTAGCCCTGGGGGCGGTCAGGTAGCCAAGTGGTAAAGCATTCGCTCGTCACGCTGACGATTCCCGACATGGGTACAATGTGTGAAGCCCATTTCCGGTGTCCCCCGCCGTGATATTGCTGGAATATTGCTAAAAGCGGCGTAAAACCATACTCACTCACCCACTGTTTAGCTCTGCCGCAGGGGTTCAATTGCATAAGACTCGTTAAGGCAATTCTTATTTTCTGCTGATGTGGCACTTTAAAAATAGAAATGATAGTGGCTTTAAAGAATTGATCAACAACACAAACATAATTTCAATTTGACATTTTCATATTTTACCAATTCTACCAGTTGCAGCTGATTCTGTGCATAATAGAATTACAGTACTTTTGGTTGTTCTTGAGACACAATCTTTGCAATCTCCCTTAGTCTGACATCTTCTATGATCCAGGGAATTTTATCTCCATGCCTCCTATCATGATAGGAGTGGCGGAGTGGGCAAGTGGTCAAAAGCACCAGGCTAGCAAGCCCCAGGTGCAGAGATCGTATCCTGCAAGTGACTTGGTTGTAATTTAGCCCTGGGACCAACAATGTTTACAGGTCTTCACAGTGTTGTCACTACCCCTAGTGTACAGTACATTCACCACCATAGATTCCTTTCACCATGACATCACCAGATCCAGCCTTCTCATCACTGACGTAGGATTTCTCTAGCTCATGAGTTTGAATTCAACAACCAATCAAGAAGCTTCTTCTGAATGCAAGATCAGCATAGATCAAAAATCGGCTTCGAACAAACAAGCACTGAGATAGTTTCACTAACCTATCACAGAATTTATCTTGCCCATGAGCGTGAAATCAACAACAAACCAAAATGCCTCTCCTGAGTGGGAGTTTGGCATAGATCTGTATTTAAACTTGCAGACATATCCGAGTGAATCTTCAACATATATAAACGATTTACAGGACTGATATATTAACATCTAAGCTGAATGTTTACTGAGAGTACGAACACGGGGAGAGAAAAGCGCTTACGCTACAAGACTCTCTGGTTGTATTTGTGACAACATGTAAAATTGAGTCGAGTATTGATGATACTGCTGCTTGTATAAATGAAAGAGTGAGTGAGTGAGTGAGTGAGTGAGTGTGGTTTTACGCCGCTTTTAACAATATTCCAGCAATATCACGGCAGGGGACACCAGAAAAATAGGCTTCACACATTGTACCCATGTCAATAATCAAACCCGGGCATGGGCGGATACAGCTTTTTTTAAAAAGGGGGGGGTGCACAATTAAGATCTATTTATTGTCTTTGGGGGTAATTTATACAGAAATAAAGATTTTTTTCGAAATAAAAAGGGGGGGGGGGGGGGGGGTGTTACTTGTTTCCATTGCAATATGGCTGTAAAATGCTAACTGACTAAAGTACTCATGGAAATGAAAAAAAACTGGTTTTTTTCGACCTCAGATCTTAAATTATTGCAGTTAATATACAAAATATGTAAATATTCCAACAACTAAATTAGTACTAATTGGGCCATGGCACAAATACAGCGTATCAAATGTTTTTATGCCTTTTTACACGTAAAAGTGTGTAAAAATGTGAATAAAACAGATTATTGTGAAACAGGGCATAACCAGGTGTAAGTAGATCAAGGTGACCTATGACACCTTGACGACAGGTGAGAACAGGTGCATAATGCCTATATTCTGTTTCTGCTATGTCAATTTGGACTTAGTTTTATTTTTGAATGTTGAAAGTGCCGACAAATTACCTCCTGTAAAGTACATTTTGTATTGTTCACTGAGATCAAACTAGCAAATCCAGACTAGTACTTTTCGAGTTGTTTTGCTATTTCGCATTTACAGCTACGTAACACTTTGTGTCGATTTTTAAATTGAGAAAAACAGGGGTTTTTCATTTCCGTGAGTACTTTAGTTTACTTTCAAAATATAACTTTTACATAGGATTACATAGATATGAAGTTCATATTTAGTATGGATTGATAGTTCAAATAAGCACCCAAAAAGATATTATAGACAGAACATGTTTTAGTCAGTGCTTCTTCAAAAAATACAATTTCATTAGGAGCCAAACAATGATTTTTTACCCACAACTCATTTTTTTCAGGACGTCCAATGAACGATTAATTTTGTGAGGTAAAACCTGGTTACAAATGTTTTTCTTGAGCATTTTCAAAAAAATCCCAGCAGCCCACTCCCAGAATATCAAAAGGTCATTCTCAATAAAGGTATTTTATTTAATATTAGAGTATATTGTACAATGCAGATGTCTAATGATGTAAAGAGAAAAGAATACAAAACATGAATGATTATTGATTTGTTTGCACAGGAATTTGAAAATGCATCATGGTAGGATAGGAAAACATAAAAGGCTGAGGTGTTGTGAAATTCAAAATGAGTTTTACCATATACTATATACCGTATTTGATGTGATATGTGCCCAGGGCGCTCTCAAAATTAGAAACAGGGGGCTCTTATTAGAATAATATTTTGGTGAAAATAAACAGAGTTGAAAGATAAATTTCGTGGTTTATGCTGACAGCCTGAAATGTTTATGTACGACAGATATATTTTTCCAGAATTTAATTGCCCATAATTAAGGATGCATATAACACACAAGTGCGTATTATACGCGAATAAATAAGTCTTTTGTACATTGATCAATCGTAAGGGGTGCTGATTGGGCTTGTTCAGTAGCCAATATATTAAGAAATATCACCATGGGTGCTTATTAGAGCGGGGCGCTTATTACGACTTAAGTCTGTAAAATGTAAATCATTGAGGTTTCCAAATCTATTAATACGATCATCCTTATATATACAGTTTGAAAATCAGTATAAACAGGTTTCCTAATTCATAAGATAAACAAATTTAGTTGATAAGTAGAACTGAATTTGTTTTTTAAAACAAAAAATCACTTCTGTGTCTGAAAAAAATATTCAAATATTGCTGCAGATTTGGGGCCAAAAATTGGCCTCTGTGCAGGTCCAGATAAAACACTGACCTGTGAAAATATCACTTGGGAAGGTCATGATTTTTCTAATGTAAAGTGCAGAAATAAATAGAAAATATTTTACTTATTTTACTATATTTTTTTAAAGGTTTTACTATTTAGATTATCAATGCATTTAGAACAAATTTGAAACTAAGTGGTTGCACATAAGAAATAATATATTTTGTTACAATGTACAAGTAGTCATGAGTCTTCAGAGGAAAGTTAAAATGTTTTTATAAATTGAACCAATCAAATCATTATTTTTAAAAAAACTAAATTTTAAATACATCTAGTCTTTCAGGAAGCTGGCGATCTCCTGTAGTGCGTAACATATGACACATTCAGATATAAAAACGCTATAAATGAATGTCAACAACTAGTAATAAACTTCATTCGATAAACCTTCTGAAAAAAAAACATGGCAGAACACGAGAATGCTTGACAAAAAAGGCCACTAGACCTCTTTTATGTTTTTTTTATGTGTAAGGGGGAATTATAGAAACTTAATGAATTTATTATTTTATCTGACAGAGAACTTTTGAACTGGTCCCTTAATAAAAATGAATGCGTGGCAGCTCGAGACGACGCCCTGCTTGAGTATGGAAATATATTTACCGTCGTGTTAACGGCTCTCTGAACAAGTTACATTGTCCCTTGGATAAAACTGCCATAAATAATTAGACGTAATTGTTTACATGAAAACAGTTAGCTTGCAAATCCATGAAAATCTAAACCCACTCACTTGTCGGTTGTGTGAAGATGTAACGATTGCAGACTCCCCGCTGTAAACGTTCTTAAAGATGGATCGGCATCTGCGACAAGGACACACACGGGCTCAAACGGTTGCAAAGTCAGTCCCGTGCCTAAAATATCAACAACGTTATTGTCAACATCAAAATGAGCAGAGAATATATACATGTGAGAGGCATTTTCATTTCCATGTGGGGCTGATAGTCTGTGGTAGGCCTTTGTGTTGTGAGCTGCGCGGAACGAAGGCGGGTCTCCTTTATGTCCTCTGCAGCAGATGGCGTCTCTTTGTTTTTCTCCTTGAATACGGGGTACTGTAGGAGTGTCATGTCTTGTGTGATGCTTCATTTCAATAACGAAGTAGAGTTTCTCAGGCCTTGTCAACAGTATGAACAAAGAGTGGGTGGCGATGTATGCAAGAAATACGCATACGATGCACCTGATGCGACGACGTCTCCGAAATACCCCCATTCAGCATGGGTCCCGTTTAGAGTGTATTACCAGTAGTCATGTCACGTAGGCCCATGGCCACACCACGCAAACACTGAATTCGGTAACATTCGCTCTACCTGGTGAAATGCTTACAGTTGCGATCCGAACGACAACGGATGGTTTAAGCTGCAGAAAGCTGAAGAAAATGGTACTGGTTAGAACGGCACCGCGTCAAAACGGCACCAAACGAAAACGGCATAAAAACAGTGTATCCATCATGTCGACTACAGAAGATCTCGCATATAATGCGGAGGTTCAACGAAAATGTGCTCGTAATACACTGGAGTTCTCATTTTCTTATCAGGAAGGAAGTGGTCGAATAATGCATTTCGAGATACGCGTTTCCGAAATACCGTATTTCCTCTATTTCTTTCAGACACTCTTTACCCCCGGCAACGATCATATTGTGGAGAATTCGCGCATAAAAACTAGCCCTTTTGCCGCAAAATCAAACCGATGAAATGCGAAAATAGATACATACCCGAAACAATTCGTCTTCAATGGGATGAAAGTTATTAATAATATATTTGTCCATACCAACTCGACCCGTGAAGATCCGGTGTAGAATATGTCTTCAGCAACCCGTGCTTGCTGTACAAGGCGACTATGCTTGTCGTAAGAGGCGACTAACGGGATCGGGTGGTCAGGCTCGCTGACTTGGTTGAGGCATGTCATCGTATCCCAATTGCGTGGATCGATGCTCATGATGTCAATCACTGGATTGTCTGGTCCAGACTCGATTATTTACATACCGCCGTCATATAGCTGTACTATTGCTCACTGCGGCGTGAAATAACAAACCATACCAAGTCGTCACCAAAATTTCCGACATTGTCATGAAGTAGAGAAAAAGTTGGTGTTTTTTTTAATTGTTGGTGTTTTAATGCCTGCTGTTACAAGGGGGTCTGTAACACACGTAACACACGTGTAATTCGCGCGTTAGACCAACCTACTACTTTCTTTTCTGTTATAAAATCATATCAAATGAAAAGTCTGCATCAGAAGCGTATCTTTCTGCAGTATATTAAACGGAATAAGCAATGATAATCTGTAAAATATTCTCAAAGCAATGTTTGGGATCTTCTTGGTATAGCTATTCAGCTAATTTCAAATGCAAATTATAAAATAAACTGAACGAGCTCAATAAACCAGTACAATACGGTGCACGATGACGTTTATGGTTATTGCAAGCAGGGGGGAGTGCAGTGACAAAGTTGAGGCCGGAATTAAAGCTTCATATTGTTAAAGAGATGGTTTAGATCATGCAACTGTCACTCAAATTATTATTTCATTTGACAGTAACAGTGACAGTGAAAATATTTCAGAATAGAACTTTTGAGACTATCCCTGTGTTCCGCCCTTCAGCAGGTATGTTTATTATCCCTTCGCAGTACTTTTATCTAATTAGGACTGATCCATTACACCTGTAGGTATATTCCCTCTTTGCCTGAATAAAAATGTCTAACAATTGGGACGTCTAACTAATGGGACGTCTAACTAATGAGATATAACCGTGCAGACCTCTTCGTAACAACATGCATTAAAACACCGACAATTACAATTGTTAAAAGCTTGTTCTCTACTTCATGACAATGTCTGAAATTATGATGACGAGTTGGTATGGACAAAAAGAACCTGCCATGCCATTTAAGACGAATTGTTGTTTAATAGTTTATATCTATTTTGCATTTCATCGGTACGATACTGCAGCAAACCGACAATACATTATTAATATGTGTCAATACCATAGGTCACGCAATCCATGAAACTTTAATAATCTGATATTTGTTTGAAGGCTGTTTATTGAGCCATTTAATTTCTTTTAGAAGTATTTGCATACACTTTTGGGTTATTTTGTATTATTTCTATTTGTGGGGGTGGTGCGCGTGCTGGGGGAGGGGCGTGTAATTGCTGCCTGTGTCGAAATAGCGTCAAATTCTGTTTGTTTATACTTTGTACGAAAACTAGATGAGGTATATAGTAATTAATATATCATTATCTATATCTTGCTTTCAAAGACATGAAACAAGCCATAGGCCAGTCCGGAGAATGTGAGACAAAGAGCTAATTTACATATAAGGTAGAGCCGCCCACTTGGCTGTCACTATTTTTTTTATTTAGTACGACATCATCGTTTCTAACGATTTGTGATGATACTTTAAACACATGGTTTCAATATCGATATTAATGTCAGATCAAGTTGGGTTTGGGAACGAAACAGTAAAAATTTATTGTGGAGATCCATAGCAAATAGACCGATCCAGTCAGTCAATCAAAATTGAGCCAGTTTGAGCCAATCAGAAGGCCGGGCGCGCTTTGCGGATTTGTCAGACTTACTTCCGGGGTCAAACGACACCCGAGAAGCGACATGGCTACGGTTTGTGCTATTTTCACTCGCGATATCCATTTTGTATCGCTGAGATTAGATGTATACCTTTACCCAAACCCACAGGGTCGGGAGAAAAATGTTTGAGGCTGATCAAGATGTGCGGTAGGCGCCACCATCTTCCACGGGACCCACGTGTGCTCGCAGGTGAGTATATGCACGAATTTCCGCACATATGCATACTCAAATCGGGTAAATGACAACACGTAGCAAGTTATGATTTTACGCATGTTATAAACAAGGATAATGCTTGAAACTACAAAATCATTTTTGAATTATGTATTTTGGCAACATCGGGCATTGAGTTAGCAGGTCAATCGGTCATATTGCTGAAATGTGACACGCGAGACGGCCGTGACACACTAAACAAATATGAAAGTGATCTGATTTCGGTTAGTGCAGAACGAATTCTACTATTATTTTACTATGTATCAAAAGACACGAGGGTGAGATTTTATTTATCATCAGACATCATTCTTCCAACCTTTTCAAATTGTAGACAGTAATAAGCAGTGTCTTCAGTGTAAAAAGTACTGCTAACAGCTTCAGTAGCAGAGCCATTAGTGATGTCATTTGACTGTGACGACATGGTAACCAGTGACGTCACAATGGTCTGCAATGCATTGTGATGTAATTTCATTGCAATATCTCCTGTGGGAGCCAGTTTTGGATGATAAATTGCAAATTACTCGAGCATAATATTGCAGATTACTCCAGCAGTAATAATTCTTTAAACATAGAAAAATAATCATTGTCAAGGGTTTTCGTTCCATAAAATCTTTCAATTTATTTCATATAAGTTCCCATTAAATCATGCTTTCACTATTTCAGCATTTCTATAAAGAGACAGGACCCATGCAGTAATGTGAAATGGAATCATCCCTTCAAGGTTAGAAAGGAGAGGAAAATTTCATGAGAAGGAAGTGAATTACTGGAATATTTTGACATAAATATTTTGAAATAAAAAAACCCATCTTAGTTAATATAAGAAAATTATTGGTTTAGAATTGTTTGCAACACAAGTTATACACTGGTAGTGGAAGCTTACTGATATGCATTTTAGTGAAACAATATAACTGTTAAAACCGATTATAAGTGTCAAGTCATTTTAATTAATTTACTGGAAATAATAGCAAGATTGTTTATGAACTCAGAGTAACATGGTCAAGTAATGATATAAATTATTATCTTATCAAGTAATTAATAATTATTCCAAACAGTTATTTAATTGATGCCATATAAAAGTCAGATTAATATGATGTAATTGCACTAACTAACAAACACTAAATGTTTGATGATACAACATCAACCTGGTATAAAACTTTGCTTGTTGGCTCTTTGTATAGGACATAATAATTTCTTTTTAAATAATATATTTCTAAAAAAGATAGTTTTGAAAGTGATTACAAGTATCATAATGCATGATACTTATTTCAAGATACACAGAATTTGTAAAAACAAAGACATTATCTCTTCGTCACACCCTGATCAGGCATTATCCAGAGTGCCTGCTCAATTCTGATACAGAATATATTATATAATTCTTAATACATTTTATATATATTCATGATGAATATTGAAATGTATTTAACCCAAAATGTAATTCTTTACCATGATTTGAGGAGATTGTACATTTACAACATTTCCATATTTGTAAAAGTGGGTCAGTTAAATTTGTGTTGATTGCACTTAATGTTTCAAAACCGATATTGTTTATTTTTATTTGGTACTATCCATTTTAGCTATAATAAAGGTAACACTATTTTTCAGGGCATTGCTGAAGCCCGAGGTCTTCCATTAACTGCCCTGGTAACGCTTTTTTTCAGGGCATTTTCATTTGCAGAAGCCCTTGGTCTTTTCAACTGCCCTCCTTCGTCGGGCAGTTAAAGGAAGACCTCAGGCTTCTGCAAATGATAATGCCCTGAAAAATAGCGTTATCCTTATAGTTGTGAAATCCATTTGATGTAAACTTATCATGTCGTTCAGATATAAAGTAGTATTTGTTTCGCCAACACTTTATATTTTTATGTTCCTGACGATACTTTTGTCGATGAGATCGCCTCCATAGTCCAGTGGATAGAGTGAGTGAGTTGAGTTTAAAGCCGCTTTTATCAGTATTCCAGTTATATCACGGCGTGTCAGCTTAATGTGGGAGGAAATCCCGAAGTGATGCAGGTCTAAGTCATTTACCACTTTGGAGAAACCCACGAGCACGGGTATGGTGCTGACAAAATTAGAAACATAATCGGGCAAACCGGGATTCGAACCCACGATCATGTTTTTTTGGCAACTCTGCGACGCCTCTGACGACTGGACAATGCACTCACGCATGCACATCTCTCTATATTGTGACACTATTGTCCTCAATGTCACCAAAAGATGGGGCAGCGAAACGTGTTCAGTATCAATTATAAAATATACATGGGTTTCAAACAACACGACGGCATGCTATTACGACAGGCAGGTTACAATGTGGTGAATAGTTTATGTTAGCGATAGTTTCGTAACCGTTCATGTTTAGATATTACATTGGACGATTATGTAAAAAAACCACTGACACTCAGAAATTGTGTTAGAAACAGGCAAATACATCCTAAACTGTTGTGTTTTACAGCACATCGAGTAATGGTTTCAGCAGACGATGTCATAGACTTACGATTGCAACCTTAGCGCGAAGATTGAGACACCGAATTAAGATCGAGCTACAGTTGCTTTGTGAAACGGGC